GTTCATTATATTATAATATTTTGTAAAATAAAGAGTTCATCAATTACAAAATAATTTTGTAATAGATTTGCATTTCTCTGCACAAATATTTGAACTTATTGCTATTTTTATATGCCATAAGTTTTCTTATCCGGCCCCTTTGGGATCAAAATAGGTTGGATACGGCCCCCGGACCAAAATGAGTTTGACACTCCTGCAGTAGAGTTTGGCAATTCCAGGGCAAGAATAATCTGAATGATTCTAATGAAAGTGTATGGAGTTTATACAGTGGAGCACTTCCTGTATCACAACATGACATCACAAGTGTTTTCCTTTTAAGTGAAGAACTCAGCCTAAATATGCAGGGTTTGTGTGTAAAAAAATGTGAATGAAACAAAACACAACTCCAGTTTTTGTTTTGTTTTTTTGGATAAGGAAACAACATTAGAACATAGATCAGAAAAAAAAGCAAAAATGGGCCCTTTAAATTCTCTGGCAATGTGGAATGCACCTCGATAAATTAAAGATGTTCTCCCATAAACAGCTTGTAGTAATTTCCCATAAAGTGAAGACTAATATCAGATTTCAGCTTCTGAGAGAACAAAGACCAGGTTTAAAGGACCCATATTACCCATATTTAAGAGGTGCTAACTTGAACACTACCAGTACATGACATCACAAGGTGGAATAGTATTATGAGATTTGAAAATGTAGATAGGCTAATAATACAGGGCTGCTCAAACATGCATGAAAAAAAAAAATTAAACCCAAACAACTCCAGGTTTGTGTTTGATGAGGTAACACCATTATAACAATTATAACCTTGCTAAAAGCTCACAAGAGTACAAGAGTCCATTCTGTGTAATATAGGATCTTTAAGGAGCTGTACCTGAGCGTTTCATTTCGCCTTGAGTAACACCTATGAATTATTAAGAGTCATTCTATGGACTATCAAACCACTAGGTCGCAAGGAAATGCATTCTGGAGAAGTTTCAGAAATAGCTCATCACCCCCCTGGTTTTAACAGCGCTTCTTACCCGTGATTGAACAAGTCTGAAGTTTAAAATTGAGCCCATCTGAATTTTTCAAAAGCTCAGCAGCAGTTAAAGCTCCATTAAAGCACAGCGGCTGAACCTGTCGCACTCTGCATTATAGATGACATAACACGCTATTTATTGTACTTACCTGATAGAAAGAAGGATGGAGGGATGGAGAGAGGCAGAGAGAGAGAGACAGAGAGAGAGAGGTCATGGTTTGATTGATGGGAAGATTGTGAAAAGTGACTAAATGTATGTTCCAGGAAAGATAAATACCAGAGGCTTCATCAGTACTACAGTAAGCGTAAGATTTAATGGTGCAGTTAGAACATGTTCTATAGCAGTGACTTATACAATCTCTATAGCTTCAAAAAGTACATCCAATCGTCTACTTTTCTTTTATTCGAAGTGATTTTAGTAGAAACGCCACATTTAAAGGTGCACTGTGTAACTTTCCTGGTGAAGGGCCTGCTACCTGCTTTTTTTCTTCATGAACATGTTATTGCTTTGCCTGGAATGTTTCACAGTATGATATTAAACCTTTCTGTCTTCATGGAGACCAAACCAGGCCACGTTACGCGTCAGATCTGTGGAGAGGCAACCCCGCTCAAAGTCAGCATTTTTCAAGATATTTTTGAGCAAAGGAAACACCTGTAAATAAATAAATGTAAAGTAGAGCTGTTTAAAGTCATACTGTGGAACATTCCAGACATAGCAATGATATAACAAGCAGGTGACGGACCTCCAACCAAAAAGTTACACAGTGTGCCTTTAAAAAAGATATATTGTGCTTGTGTCCGGTATATAGTTAATCTATGACACCCGTGGATCATTGTGTTGGCAAATAGGATGTCATGAAGATAAGTGATTAAAGACTGCTCAAACGTGCACAAATCACTCCAAATACAACTTCGGGTGAGTAAACAGTGAAGTGGGAACAATTATAGACTTATCGCTGTAATTAATCATGAACAATATCTATTTAAGATCAATATTCATGTATGTAAATATACACTATGTAGGCTGCCTTTTATTTCTGCATTATTTTTGTGGTAACATGTAACAATTTGAAGGTACAATAATTAGAAGTATTACTAAAAACTTCTAGGGTGCTTCATTTTGGTATTCATTTACTAGAGCTCATATTTTAGTTTGTTCAGAAAAGAGTTTACTGGAATTGCTGTGACAGGCCTATCGCCATGACAACTCCCAAGTGACCCACAATTAAGTTCATGGGCTTCATCTTCCCGCTTTGAGGACTTTTATCTCATTAAAAAGGTATATTTTTAGTCTATTAGTATGACAACCGTTTTGATTATTGCTAGATTTTTATTGCTCTGAAAAGCATGTTTTGAAGGGGCTCCCAAAAACTCTGCATTTCATCCATGGGAGGGACTTAACATTCTGTTGCAACCATGGCAATCCAATTTTAAGCAGTGTTTTCTATTCATCTGAGCTGCCAAGTCTAAAAAACAGACTTATATTTACAAAACAAAGCTTTATTTATACCTAAAATTATAACAATACATTCAGATTTTCTTTTACTTCCTGTTGATGCATCATCTTCCCCCGACCAGCCGCCTCATATTAGTGTTTATGATCACAAATGTTGATTTTTGACAATATATTTTTCATAATCAGGTTAGGATCAGGGTTGGGTTTAAGGAAAGTCTCTGAACCTTATTTGTATTGGGGAGTCCCATGTTTTGAAGCAAAAATCTGTATTTTTTTTCTCCGAGCAGCCAGTATTGAATTCAAATTCAGTTGTTTTTATGCGTTTACCGTATAGAGAACACATTTGCATATTTTTCTTCTTATAAATCAAACCTGGCCTAAACAACTATTAATTTAATGAATCCTGCCCTATATGTTTCTCTCATGGGCAAAGTCCCAGACCTCAGCCCAGTTCATTAGCGTAGCCTCCACCCAGCGCTAAAGCTATGTGCAGACCTGATGTAAATGTGGACGGATAGGGGAGAGTGAGCTTATTCTAGTCACAGGTACCTCCAAGCTGTCAGAGCCCCAGCAGCAGCAGCAGTATCAGCTCACAGCTCCTCTCATCTCCCCCCGATAGCCCCCTCTTCCCCGGGGGCAGCATCTGAAGCCCGCTCCCTCCGTAATTACCCATGGGCCCTCCTAATGCTCCAGCTGTTTGGGCGAGTGGGACCGCACCGGAGCAGGAGGTGCAGAAAGTTTGGGTGTGAAGTAGATCCTGATTAAAAGTTTCAAACAAAGCGGGGAAACAATGCAGCTATACTAGTTCAGACGAGTGAACTGTTCAAACTTTTGTCTTAAGCTTACACTGTCATTTTGTGTTAAGCTCTTTAAAAGGTGCACAAGTAACTTTTTGGTTGTGGGTCCATCACCTGCTTATTTTTATGGATATTTCACTGCTCTGCCTGGAACGTTCCAAACATTAAACAGCTCTACTTTACATGTAGTCAATTTGTGTTTTTTGTTTACATGGTCATTTTGTGTTAGACTCTTTAAAGGTGCATCGTGCAACTTTTCTGGTGCAGAGTCTGTCGCCTGTTTGTCTCCATGGAGATGTTATTGCTTTGTCTAAAATGTTTCACAGTAGAGGTTAAACCCATTTATCTCAAATCTATCTCAAGAGAGACCACTATAAGCCAGATCTGTGGAGAGACAACCCTATTCACCGAGAGATTTATTGCATTTTTCATTAGAAACAGAATGCAATGGATAAATGCGAGACAGATGGGTTTAATGTCATATTATTGCCTGTAATTTTCCACAGTATGGCATTAAACGCATCTATATAAATGGAGACGAGCAGGTGACACCAGCAGGCCAAGCAGGAGAAGCAATAAAAACAAAAACAAAAAAAGATATTGCAATTGAATAAATACAGATACATTGCATACTGTGGTACATTTCAGGCAAAGCAATAACATCTCCATGGAGACAAGCAGGTGACGTACCCTCCATCGGAAAAGTTGCACAATGCAACTTTAAGAAACATAGGTAGAAAGATGGAAAGATAGATGAAAGTATTAAAAACTCGCACGGTGAATTGCAAAAGTGAATACATAAATGAAAACTTGTGCAAAACTTTTCAGAGCTTTTAACCATTTTTTTTTTTTTTTATTAAATCATTTTAGTTTAAATGTATTTTCTTATTGGAGATTATATAATAAGTTAAAGATGCACAGTGTAACTTTTCTGGTCTAAGTCACCTGCTTGTCTCCATGGGGATGTTATTGCTTTGCCTGCAATGTACCACAGTATGAAATGTATCTGTATTTATTCAATTGCAATGTAATTTTTTATTGTTTGTTTTTTAGTGTATTGTATGTTTTTATTGCTTCTCCTACTTGGTCCCTGGTGTCACCTGCTCCTCTCCATTTATGTAAACACATTTAATGCTATACTGCGGAAAACTGCAGGCAAAGCCATCACATCTCCATAAAGACAAGCAGGCGGCAGACCCTCCTTCAGAAAAGTTACATTTCACACCTTTAAAGAATGATTAATGTCTTGTCTCTCTTAGAAAATGTGTGCAAAGTTTGTTTTTAGTTTAGTTTTGCTTCCTCCCTTGTTTCCTGTACTTTCACTCAAATTGCTGTTCACTTCAATCGCAAGAAGTTTGTGCGAACACAGTTGTCAGAATAGACTTACAAAAAGTTACATTTCTCTACTCTCTTCCACTTCGCATGTCCCGATTGTTTTGGAATTCACCAGCGCTACTTCTAAAAAACATACTTGGAATTTGACAAGTATTCTCCGGGGACGTATATGCAGATCACACTTGAGAGACACCAGCATTGATCTCCTCCACTCAACTGGTTGCCAAACGGATTAAACCATCGGCAGTTTGACAAGTGACGGACTGACGCTGATTGATCGGAGCAGACCCGGGCGAAACTGCTTACAAATGGGCTGATGCATTGATCATCCTTGCCGGGGGTGAGATAGGGAGCTGAGGGGGTGGGGGGTGACTTGCAGAACAGCGTGTAGGCTCACCGTCGCGGCGTTGGCGGTCCACGGTGGAGGTCTTGTGCGAGCCGGAGCCGATGTAGAGGAAGCCATCCATGAAGGGAGAGGAGTCTGAGGGCAAGGCGTAGTCTGAGCACTGCTCCAGTCTGGGGAAATCTGTGGAGTGAGTGAGATCGTTTAATTTTCATGTAAAATTGCAGTTTTTGGAAATATTTAAATGTGAGCTTTGAGCCATGTTATAATGTTACCTCCTCAAAAACATGCCTGGAGTTGTGTTTTCATTTACACAAGTTTGAGCAATCCTTTATTATGAGTCTGTCTTTGTCTCCAAAACCCAAAATGCTCTATTCCACCTTGTGATGTCATGAAGCAGTAGCAGTATGTTAATAGCTACATTTTACCTTAAGTTCAGAAGAGACTGGATGAATTCAGCCCTGGAATTGACAAATGATTCGAAGGTGTATGGAGTTTAAAAACACAGTGGATCACTTTCTGTATTACCACATGGCGTCACAAAGTGGTTTCACTTTGAGAGAACTCAGCCTAAATATTCAGGATTTGTGTTGAAAACATTGAACAATTTGAACAAAGCACAAGTCCAGGTATAATATTATATGTTTGTGATGAGGAAATAACATTATAACGTAGATCAGAAAAGTGCAAAATAAAGAGGAGGTATTTTATTTCTATGCGGTATTAAACACTATCACATAACATTTAGATTACCGTGTTACCTTTGATTGTTTTGAAAATGCTATATTCACTGAAAACATGTTTTATAAATTGCAATTTCATTTTTGACACTCTGAGTCTCCGCTCCCTTTGCTCTCCACAATAAGTCTAATGAAACTACTATTTTATATCTTTTTTTTATATTTTTGGAGAATTCTTGTGTGGGAGCATAGGTGACGTAGGCTTGTGGGCTGAGTGGGCCTCAAACATACTTGGATGACATTTAAAACCTCATCAGGCATGTTTTTGATGACGGAACAACATTATAACATGGTAGAAAGCTCATAAAAGTGGATTTTGTATAATACTCCCCTTTGTCTTACTTCCATACAATTTAAAATTGTCAAGTAAATACAAGTTGACAATCTGAGTACATAACACATAAGTTCAGAATGTTGGCACAGTTACAATGCAATTATTTCTGTTCACAAAAGCCTTTTTTCTTTCATTATCTTGAGAACAATAAACCCGCAACAACTATGCATCAAGATGTGCCGGTAAAGCTCAACTGAGCTTCAATTCTAGCTCAAAAGATGAATCATTGTTGTAGTCAATTTAAACTTTTAATTACAAAAAATATATGCTAACATTTTCAAAACAACTGCTGCAATATTAACAATTCTCGATATATCTCTATTTGAAAACTATTTAAAGGTCCTATATTACACAAAATTGACCCTTGAGCTCTAAGCCATGGTATAATGCTGGTGTCATATGAAAAACGCCCCCGGAGTTGCGTGCAATACTGGCCTTTAATTGCCAAATGATCTTGATTACTTAAATGTCAACTATTTAAATAAAATGTTGACTATCTGAGTACATGACGAAAAAGAAATAATGAAAAGAAGAGTTTCAGAATGTAAGACAAAGACACAATAGAGTCATTTCAGTTCACAAAAGACATTATGAAACCAAATTCAGCTTGTAACTTTTGCTGAGTGCAGATATGAAAAAGAAAATCTGAGATATTTGACTTTCTGAGACAAAGTTATGAATTTTAGTGTTGATCTAAGATTGAGGCAGACGGGGCTTAAGCAACTGTCTTCAGAAATGATTATTACATAAATTTAGATTCTAGAAAGGTTTTGTTATTGGCAGTGCTTTCTCTTAATTTGTTATTTTCAGGTGAGTTATGTTTTTGAGAAGGGAAAAAAGTGAACACAGTGAAAACAATTATCTACAGTTAGAGCTGACAGTATATTAGGGCTGTAGTCCACTAACCATATCCCACTAAATTCTTGGTCGAGTAAAGATGAGTCGACAAAAAAGGGAGAGTGGCAAAAGCTCTCAAAACTTTTAGATGTCTCTGTGTATCTGACCCAAAAATATTGCACTCACAAGACTCCACCTACATCTATTCATGCAGAAAGAACACATGGAAAAAATTATTTATATGTACAAAGGTAGATCAAATTTAGGATTCACTCCCAAAATTCCAGCTAAGTCACTGCACACCATCTCCTCTCTGTTGTTGTCCCATATAAATCCTAATAATCTTAAATCCACTAATACAAATTGTGGTAAATTTTGGTATTGATACTTTGTAGCTAATTCCATCATCATTCTCTGGAGATGTGATGCTAACTGTAGGCACAGTCTGAAACTGCTTTAATCTGATCTTTAATCTGAGCAATCTGACCAGAAAGAACTGAGATGATTTGTGCTCTTAAAGGGACAGTCCAGAATTTTGTACATAAATATTTTTTAAAATATTCCATCCAGTCCTTGTATTTGCAGAGGTCGCTGGTGCTAAGCTAGTGCATGTCAATGGCCATAGTTATCCTGCCACTAAAAACAGTCTTACCCACTCCACAAAGCACCCGAAGCAAAACTATTATTACACCATATGTCGATGTAAATGTCTGTGTTGATAGAATAATGTTTGAAATAAAACTAACCTTGCATCACATGAATCGTCGCATGTTAAGGGACTATTTTCTCAGCAGCGGAATTTTACCACTAAGATAGGCGCCTTGTGATATCAGTCCACCGATGAAAAGCTTTCTATCAGGAAGTACATCTCACTGCTGCTGCTCAGACATAAATCCTTCAAATGCAAGGTTGGTTTTACTTCAAAAATTATTCTATCGACAGACATTTACATGGACAGTCTGGCGTAATAATAGATTTGCTTCGGGTGTTTTGTGGAGTGGGTAAGACAGTTTTTAGTGTCAGGCTAACTATGGCCATAGACATGCACTAGCCTAGCACCAGCGACCTCTGCAAATACAAGGACTGGATGGAATATTTAAAAACGTGTCTCCACACGTCTCCAACACTCTGGCTCACTAGGAAATGAGGTCTTATGTACAAAATTTCAAACTTCAATCTTCAGTTAGTCACTCTTACCTTTTTGTTGAAAATCAAACAAGTAAACTATGACTGCTCATATTGATCACAGGCTACTGAAAATGTGCTGTTTAAATCCATTTTGTATTTTTTCTTGAGGTTTCAAACTCTTAAATTTTTTTGGCAGTGTTCGCAAACGTGTGCATTATGTCACCACGGTAACTGATGAACATTCTACCTTATAAACACAAGTGGAACCCCCCCAAGTCTCTTTTCATAGCAGAAATGTACATACTGCCTCTGCATACACATCATTTTCACACCTCGAGCCCTTGAAATAAATGAGTCCAATTAAACTCCCATGATGTCCTGCGGTCGTTAGAATAAATTATCTTATTATCCGATAAGATGACCAGTTTGAGCGCTTACATGTCAATAATGAGTTTTATCCTCTATCTACTGGGACTGTGGGGCGCTTGGAGAGGGATAGTGGTAATCCCAGGTCGTAGCCACATGTTGTCCTTCAAATACAAAAGAAAGGATTTACTCTGTGTTATTTCCAAGTGTCCCAAAGCAAAGACAACGTTCCCAAACAGGTCTGTACTTTAAACTGCTCTGTACTTTAAACCGGCTTTAACCTTCCAATGTTAGAATCACCATAAAATTATCAGCAGCCCCCACTCATAGCGGAAAACGTGATTATACAAACTGCTGTGTATTTAGTCATGCTTGTGGTCAGTGTTTTGTGAATATAAGATAATGTGTTTAGGGGAAATTTCAAAGTGTAAAAATCCAGTTTAAAAAAAACAACTCTTTTTTTTTTTTTTTTTTGCATTCTTAAACTTAAATGTATAAAATAACAGTTGGAAAATAATTACATTGCCAAATTATACTGTTTACTTAAATGTCAACTTTTTAAATTTATGTTGGGAATCTAAGTGCATGATATAAAAACTAAAAGTGGAAGAAAAGAAAAAAAAAACACTACTACTACAACAATACTACAACTACTACTAGTACTACAACAATAACTACTACAACTACACAACTACTACTACTACTACAATAACTACAACTACTACTACAACAACTACTACTTCAACTACTACTACAACTACAACTACTACAACAACTACTACTACTACACCTGTTACTATACAACTATTAAAACTACTACTAGTACTACAACTACTAACATTACAACCACAACTACTACCACCACAAATACCATTTCTGCCTATTACTACCACCACTACCACCACCACCACTACAACTACTACCATTACTACTAATATATTTACATTTATTAAGTTATTAATGTGTGCATTGTGTCACCATGGTAACTCCTGAACGTTCCACCATTAGACATACAAATAGAACACACCTGCATGACGTCACTGCAAAGTATCAATACCAGTAACAGTTCACGCTTGCATCATTTTTTTGCTACTCTCATTTTATCTTGGACTAGCTTCAACAAATATCCAAGCTTATCGTTCACAAAATTCAATTAACTTCAATGCCTGGATACAATTTCTGCCTGTACCTTGGTAATATCTTAGAGATGTTATCTTCTGAACCTCCACGGCTCTCATCAAGCGAGGTACAATAACTTTAAATGAAAATACTTTTAATTGTGTTGGCATTTCCCACCTTTATGAACAAATCTGACAGATCGTACCCTGACACAGCTAACCATCGCAGCTAATTTAAGAACATGCTGGTGTCAGACTCATTACCTCTATGCATATTAATGAAGAGATAAGATTTGTATGTGTGGACCATTTATCAGATAAAGAGAAAAATAAATTGGGTAAACAGGAAGGACGCAGATCATTATGCATATGTACAATCTTGGCATTTCAATCTGAGTATCTAAAAAAGACAATAAATAAAATCTTATTTGTTATGATAAAGAGGGTACACTCCAAAGGTCATAGGTCATTTTCAAGAATCCAACTTCAAATACATTGTTCCTAAAAAAATTTAAGGATATTAAAGGTCTATACTGATCCAAATGGTTCTACTGAAGGTGTATGGAGTTTAAAAAGTAGTGGAGCACTTCCTATATTCCTATATAACACATGACATGTTTTGTGTTCGAGAGAAGAACTCTGGAGCACTTTGGATACTGC